TTTTTCTTATAATTTATAAAATAATTGCTGCAAATGTACCAAATATATAGATACTGTAGTGCTTTTATCCTTGACTGTATCAAATAAGTGAATTTTTAAAACTTTTCTGTCCCGTGGGCATTAAAAGGACCTTTTTTCCATGCCAAGAACCATTTCCATTGCAAGTTTGGCCTGACCCATAATGATGGTGGCTGGGTGGTAGGGACAAAACCCAACATATCTGAGAATGACTAACCACAAAAAAAATTATGCCAAGGTGTCTGTGGAACCTTATAAAGATAAGAAGAATCACTATAAAATAAAAAAAGCTCTGAAGGACTTTTTATAAAAAGGTTAGATTTGCCACTAGGGATGCTAAAATCACATTCAATGTGGATTTTAGCATGTGGATTTAAACTCCATTAAAGTATTCAAACTTTTTATCTATTTACTAGCAGATAAGCCTGGCATTGCTTGGGCAAAAAGTAACGATAGCGAAGATTAAGATTATTACATTACAGCCAATCTTACCCTTTTTCACAGAATGCAAGAATTAGGTTCCCATGTTTCCAGACTAATTAGAAAATTTTTAGATGAGTCTAAAATTATGTTCGATTTAGCGCAAAAAACCGCATCTGCGCCTGTAAATCTTGCACGTTGCTTTCTCTTAACACTTCCATTGTTGAAGCCTTAATCCTGTCCCTTTCCCTGCTGGGGGGATTTCAAAAAATCCCTTGTTAGTGTGTGTTCTCGTGACGTACCCTAAAGCCGGATGCACACATGCGGCACGGCAAGGAAAAGCGGCAGGATGACATCACTTTTTCTTGCCACAGAAGTTGGTTGAATTTTATCTTTTGCGTCAACTGACGCCAAGATGCGTTTCTATCAGCCAATAACAGTTTGTCTGGTAGTCACGTGAGAAAATACAATCATGTGATGTTTTAATGGTGGAAAGTTTGACGCGGTTAACCGAGATAACTAACATCAGAATAAAGAGGAAAGGATAATAAATTTAACACAAATTCTACACAAATAATCATATATAATTTAATTCAAAAAACAAAACAACCAAATCTTACTCGAAATAGTATTCTTTATCGAGGAATAAGCGTATTTTGTACACCAGTTCTTTATCAATCCAAGAAAATATCTCTAATCCAAAATCTTTGTTCAAATCTTTGACAAAATCTAACTAAATAAAGCAAGCTGTACAAAACAAAATTTGTAAACATGTAGATAGTGACAATATCGGTATTGTTCGCCATCTTGAATACTGAACGCATGCACCAAAATGTAAGCGGATTGCTGCCATGCGGCGAAGATGCATTTGCAATGCCGCTTTTCTTTGCTGCGCTGCATGTGTGCATCTAGCTTAACTGTGTACCAAATTTCAAGATTCAACTCCTAACTGTGCTGAAATGCTTACGATGAAATGCTCATATACATGTGTGCCATCCATCGTAGGATAAATGTACTATGCCAGAAACCTTTGCGGGAGTATATTAAACAACTTCCAAAGTTTCATGGCAATCGGATAAATGGTGTAGTAATGCATGAAGGACAGACAGACAGACACCAGACAGACAGACAGCCAGACAGACACACATTCATTTTTATATATATATAGATAAGTGTGGAATTACTCTATAGTTCTTTAGCTCAAAATGTCCACAGATTTATCTACAATACAGTAATAGAGTGTTAATTATTCAAAATAATCTAAGCAGGACACTTTCAGATAACTAGCACTTGTTAGAGAAAGAATGAAAAGATAAGAATCTTAAATAAAATGAAAATATTAATTTTAATTCTAGTACAAAGTAAAGAAAAATTAAAGTATAAAAATTTAATAAGCCAACAACTACTGGATTATATCAGGCTATTATATTGTGACTATTTAAATTAATTACTAAATAATTTGTCACTAAAGGGATGCATTTGTACAGTAAGTGGCAGCTGCAGGTTCAAGTCCTGCTCTGGGCAGATTCTTTTCTTCCAGGATTTTCTAAATTATTTAATTTAATTATAATTATTAAATCTAATAAGAGATGCTGCCTAACATCTCTGTGAGAATACGGGAGTACAAGAGTGTTACTCATAACCCTTTTGATCTGTTGAATCATTTGGACTCACTCATAATGTCACTGGATGGTTTTAAAATATAGGAGGGTCTTAAATGAGAATGGAGAGAGAAGTCGGGATAAGTTCAGATCATAGACAAGTCCGTATAAATTGAATGAGTAGACAAGTGCATTAACAAAATAAATAGAATTTAATAGATATATAGATTGGGTAAAAACAATAAACTGAAACAAACTAAATTATCAACTAGCTAAGCTACAAACACCTCTAGAGAGAGAGTTTACAATTGGTTCAAATAATAATACCTCAGGTTACTCGATGTCTTCTGGATGCATGGAGTTACTTTCAGAGAGAGACTTGAGTTACCTTCAGAGAGGTTTGGGTTACTATATTGGATAGAGTTTGTTAGCTTCTATGCCAGGGTCCACCTTCTATATGGCAGAGTCATTCCTGGGTCATCTGTTTCCTTTATGGCAATTGCTTATTATTGTCATCTGCCAGCTATTATGACAGTTTTTTGTTGTCGCCAACTGCCCTGATAATACAATTTCTCTGCCTTTTATCCTAAATTCCTTTCCAATCAGGTTTTAGTATTTGTAACATCTGACTAGATACATTTCTGAAGCAAATGGACAGATGTTAGACGGAGATGTGTGATAACATCTTTCTCAAAGGAAGTTTTATTTCCCTTTTCCCACAAAGTGACAAAAATGTGTCATTTTCGACGTTAAAATGTTACTTGAATTTGTTGATGAATTGAATAAATTTTTAAATGATTAAATAAAAATAATTCTCTACTCAAGAATTCTCACATCTCCATCTAGTGACAAATTATTTAGTAATCAATTTAAAATAATCATGACATAATAACCTTATATAATTCAGTAGTTGTTGGCTTGTTACATATTTACATCAAGTTTGTAGATGGTTTACAAATTTAATACATACAAATGATTAGAAATAAAAAAAATGTCTAACTTATTAAAATCAAACATGAGTGAGGCTAAGACTCCACTACCGTAAAAGCTTTTAATCACGTGACTCTGATATCTTACACTGGAGCAAGCCGTAAAACCAGCGTAAAAGCAAGTTGAGCTATGTTCAACTTTCGATGCGAATACGGCCGTAAAGAGGTACCTTCCACCAATCAGAAGTCAGTGAAATCTAGGTCATCGCGACACGGAGCTAAAATGGCGAAAAACGAGCTTTTGTGTACGTTCCCTCGTAGGTACTCTAGAATAGATCCGGAAAGATTTATCGAAAACATCCGAAAGTATTCGTGTATCTACGACAAGAGGTAACCCGATTATAATAATGGATACCAAAGGAAATCCTTCAATTTAGAGGAGTATATAATAAAAAAGCTAAGCTTATAAGTGCTGTATATTATCTTAATAATACGATAATAAAAGTTAGTATATGAAAGTAAAGATATTATTTTTACTACAATTGTAATTATAGTACAGAAAAAACTCGTAGAATATAATCATTGTCTTTATATCGATACATCACGTATACAACTGTCTTTCGTTTCTACCAATTCACGTGCGAAGAAGTATTTACTTTCGACACTTGGGGCAGCACCGTTGCCGTAAAAACTTCGCGCTAGCCAGACCTCCACCATAATCTGAGCGCAAATGCAAATAGGTCACGTGATTAAAAGCTTTTACGGCGAGGGGTTTTTATGCCGTTTTTACGGTAGTGGAGTCCTAGCCTAATTCCTTGATATCTACAATATAGTGATAAAACTTTGAATTCAAAATAAAAAATATATAAGTAATAAATTAATAAAACAACAAGATAGTTCAATAGTGAGCCTACTGAAAATCATCAACAATTGTTATTACATAAAAACTTTGTAATTTCTAGAATTAGTACTTTCTCTAGTCAACTTCAATTTATTGATTTTTTGGAGAATAGATACTCTATTGCTCAATTGAATTTATTCATGTAATTTCAGAAATAGTTCAACATGTACATGAACTGACTGATGACATCTTTAACTGCAAAGGATAATAATTTTAAAATCAATTTAATAGTAAAAACTGTCAATTATTTTTAAATGAATTTTTTTCACATATTTTACATATATATTATTAGTTCATTATTTTAATTCTGATAATAAAACAAGATAATCAGATGATAAACAAGAAAATATCAACAAATTAATATACTTACTAATGTATCTTTTTGAAAGAATTTCAACGAAATTTCTCCACAAATAAACTTCTGTATTATTTTCAAAACTGTTATATATATTACTTGGATTGCCCATTAATTCAAATCCTGGTTTTAATTCATTTGATCTTAAGATATCAATTAACTGATCCAAATAATCAAATGAATATTCTAAATATTTGTAACTTGTTTTCCTATTTAAAAAAATATATACAATTTAATATTACATATTTGATTATTAAATTTCATGTTCTTATAACATATACTTCTATATAATATAAAATTAAATTGGATTATAATCAATGTTACATAAAAATATGATAATGATGTCATCATTTTATATAACAAAACTACTTTTTCAAAAACTCCAATAAAAAATGTTGTTAAAGATCATCATTATATTTTATAGAAGTTTTGGAATTTTAGTCATAATGACAAATTATGACTAAAATTAAGACTAAAGAAAATGTTAGTGGACTTGATTTGTCACATATCTTTCTTTGAATTCAAGAATAAAACTTATCTACAGGGACGGGGAGTACCGATGTCGTCGGTACTCTGCAAGTTGGTACTCCATGATCTAGAAAACAGTATCCTCCCTTCATTACAACAGGATATACTATTATACACAAGATATGTTGATGATATCTTTATTTTGTGGAAGGATAAATGCAGCACCAAGCATTTTATAGATCTAATAAACAGTAGCCTGTATGGTTTAACCTTGGAATTAGAGCAACAAAGTAGTACCAGTGTTAATTTCTTGGATCTGACTATAACATGCACAGAAGGGGAAATCCGAACCAATATATATCGTAAACCTACATCTCTTCCCAACGTTATCCCTAAGAATTCGGTGGATCAAGAGCATATCAAAATGGCAATGTTTCAATCTTGGGTAAGAAGAGCACATACCCATTGCACAAATGTTTGAGATACTGTTAAGGAATTACAGTATATCCAAAGAACAGCCTTACAGCACGACTACGGAAGAAAAAGAATAGAAGCTCTCATCAAGAAAGATCATAATCTTACATGTAGAAAAAAGGAAAACCACCAAAAAGAAAAAGTGGTCCTCAATTACCCTTCCTTAAACTGTTTGTTAAGAGGATTTCTAGAAATAGGAACTTACAAATAATTTATCGACATAATCCCACTATATACAGGTTATTAAGGAATGACAAAGGATGTTATGAACATAACTCCTTAACAGGAATATACTCAATACTGCTAAGAGACCATAGGTTCAACTCTAACTTAGTGTAAATAGGGGCAACATTGAGAAATTTGAAAAAAAGAATCAACGAGCATAAACTAGTGTCAGTGAACAAAACTGTTGACAGTACAGTCCTTGCCACTTATGCCAAACAACAAGACATCATGGTCTTCTGTGACCAGGCCTCTATCATATATAATAAATACGTACTGGAAGTAGAATAAGTTGAAAAATAAACTACACCAATATAACTCCAGCAAAATTTAATAAAATAAAAATGTTTTCAATCGTTTTTCAACAATCATCCTCAGTTACCAAAAAGACATTGCGGAGGTATGATGTTGTCCGCAATGTCTTTTGGATACTTTAAGTTTCGGTCCTCTTTATGCTCCTGCTCCATTACCTCAATCAGAGATACTCATTCCGGATATTGAGCTCATCATTAAGGATATGAATGGCACAGATCAAGATTTTATTCGATGGAAAACCAGATTCCAAACAGCGCAAGAGAAGAGCAATAACGTAAGCACAAGAAATTTTCACCTTGGATTGAAGAAATCACTCCAATGGTTACTACACAATAATGTGATACGAAGGTGGATAAATCAAAAGAGGTGGTACTACTAAAACGTTCTACTTACAACAAGAGGCTAAAAGAATATATTACAAGCACAGAGTGCCAATCTGCATACGTCAATTTCTTGGATACATTACAAAATAGAGTTAAAAGATTCACCTCCTCTGCTTTAGCACGGCGTTTGCACATGCAAAATTCCACAATTCTCACTCCAAGAACACCTAGATTATTTGCGTTTGCAAAAACGCATAAACCGGGTAACCAACTACGTCCAGTCATGGATAAATGTGGCTCCCCAACATTTTTGACTGAAAAGCAGTTAGTCAACTTCTTCCGTGCTAGAGACTGCCTACATTCGTTTTCTATTTCCAATTCACTACAGCTTGTACAGAGTCTCAGAAACATTGCTCTTACAGACAAGGAATGTATGACCGTATTCGACTACAAATCCTTGTACCCTTCGATAAAATTACCTCCTTGCTTCTGTGCTGTCAGAGATTTTTTATTTACCAATATAGAAAATGCTCAATATTATCATGCTCATATTCTGGAATTAGTGCATTTAATTTGTTATATTAATACATCGTTTTTTGAGTTTGAAGGAAATGTCTTCTTACAAGGAAGGGGCGTACCTATGGGTAGTCCTACATCTGCAATCCTTTGCGAATTGGTGTTGCGTCAACTTGAAAACACCATTCTACCCGAATTCCAACAGCAAATCATTTTGTATGCTAGATATATTGATGGCATTTTCATACTTTGGCGTGAAGAACCTAAACTACAATATTTTTTAAACAAGATCAATAATAACCCTTACGGTTTAACGTCGCAACTGGACCAAAAAAGTAACTACAGTGTTAACTTCACTTAATGGACATTTCCATTAAGTGCAAGCAAGGAGAGATCTGGACCGATATTTATTGTAAACCCTGCTTTCAACCCATTATCATCCCATACCAATCAGTCGATCCCAGGCATATCAAATTAGCAGTTTTCAGATTATGGATTAAACATGCTTATACGCATTGTACAAGTTTCTGAGATATGATAAGAGAGCTGAAGTACATTCTTAAGATAGCCCAACTTCACGGATATCCAAAAAAAGAGATAGAGGATCTTATTTCATCCTTCCAATCCACTGCACGGCATTCTCCCAGGATTGACCGTAATAAACAAATAGTGCTTAATTACATCCCATTTTTGAACAAGATACACAAATCTACTGCCAAGTCTAATAACTTTCACATTGTATACCGGCACAATCCCACTATTTTCAAACTTTTAAGAAATGATAAAAAGAAGGAGGATCGGAATTCAATAATGGGTATATATTTGGTGCCTTTACATGACCAACGATTCGATTCCAGGCTGGTTTACGTGGGAGCGACAATGCACGGTCTAAAGCAAAGGCTCAAGGAACACAAATATACAATCAATAGGAACCTGGATAACACTGTGTTGGCATCATACGCAAAACAACAAGATATTAACGTACAATGGGATCAACCGGCAATTATAAAAACGACAAATAATAGGCAAACGATCAAACATCTAGAGAGATTGGAAATCTATAAAGCGCACATGAAAACCGGTTGTATAAACCATAGAGACGCCAACTCATTATCTACTGCATAGAGATCCTTTTACAATTATTAATTTTCACTATTTATTTGGTTTATTTGTTAATTTTTCATTAATACATCCGCCAGGGCGCTTTCTGTTAATTTTTATTTTTTGTACTTATTTCGAACGCATTTTATGTCCCATATTTGATTTTCTATTTTGATAACTGAGGATGATCATTGAAAAACGATTGAAAACGTTTTTATTTTATTAAATTTTGCTGGAGTTATATCAGTGTAGTTTATTTTTCAGGCCTCTATCATAAAAGCTACTAGATCTAAGCATGCAGTAAAGTATCTGGAAAAATTGGAAATCCACAGGGCACAGAAGAGCATGCAATGCATTAACTATAGAGATGCCGATGGGATTTTGTCCGCTTGGAAATCTTTTCGTGACAAATTGGCTTAGTTCTATATAAAGGCTTAATTAAGCTTAAGATGATCCTTGATAGATTTATTTATTTATTATTTTAAACATACCAAATTTTTTCGTGTGTAATGCTTTTATTAATATTTATTATATATTTGTTTATTTGAAATTCGTTTGCGTAATTTTTCGAATTTCTCATTTGATTTTAGAGAAATAACTGATGATGGACGCTTAATGCGTTTGAAAATGTTCTTATGTTATTAAAGAATTATGATGGACTTTTGAATGGTTTTTTATTTTATTTTATTGAATTTAGTCTCCAGTAAGCAAGTATACTTTTATTTATTTATTTAATGAATAAGTTATATAAGGAAATAGTCCAGCAAAAGATGCAAAACTTACATACTTATGCAATCCCACTATGAAACAGTAAGGACACCACCAATCATCTACATCTACCAGGAGTATATAGTATCCTGGTAATAGACTTAAGATTTTAATGTAACCTACAGTACATTGGTTCCACCATCTGCTCCACAAAAAAGAGAATTGAAGAGCATGCCTACAATATTAATAACAAAAATACATAGCCCTGTCTTGTTACACATCCGAAGAAGATGTGCATGTGGATCTCCTGAACACCCTCATTGGATGGGCACAACAATGTTGTAACAGCCCAGGAGGAACTGGAAATTTTTCAGGCAGAAGCAAAAGAGAATTGTATAAACTTCAGGGAGGAAAAACATATTTTATATGCTTGGCAGACATTTTTTCTATAGTGTATATTTTTCAAATAAATAAATTGGTAGTCATAGCAATTTATTTATTACTATTTTTTTTTAACTTTCATAATAATGAAAATAGGTAAGAATTATTTTACTTTTTATTAAACCTTTTGTGGACCCCCTGACATTGTCCATGCACTCCAAACTAATTTTAATTTGCCATGGACCCCATCAGTGGTTCCAGGAACTCAGAGGTCCATAGGAATCACTTTGAGAAACATTGTTATAACTATTTTAATAATATGAATTGAATGGCTTAGTGGAAAAATGGCATATCTCAGATTAGGAAGGATTTGTTTTCAATTTATCAGTACTTTAAAATGAAACATTTTATTAATGTGAGTGTACAACCCATGGGACATGCAACTGAATCACAAAGTTTCTCCAAAGACAGACAGATAATGCACAAATCCAATTTTGTTAACAATTAATTTTTCGTAGTTTTGCAAGATATACTATTTTTCCAACATAATTGTAAAGCTAAAAAATTTAGCTTTACAATTATTTTGTTTGGCTTGCCATTTAAAAAGGTCAACACAATCCTGATTTAGAACAATTAAATTAATCTGTAATATTCTTAAAGCAAGTTAAATTCCATAAACTTATTTCAATAAAATTTAAACTACAAAAATATTTTTATATAATTAATGCAAATATTAAATATATACCTCACTTTAACTAAATCAAGAAGCCAATGGATTCGAACTTGTTCAATTCCATTGTGAGGAAGCGATCCAATTAAGGCAAAATTATGTTTCATTTGATCACTTAGAAGATACTTGTGAGCTTCTTGATGAGGATCTGGAGGACTAGCAATTTAAAAATAAAATAAAATTATCAACTGAAATGAAATAAATTAATTTAAACAATAATTAATACTTTCTTTACTCACCAAAGACCAGTATTTTTCCAAAAATGTTTTAAATTTCCATCTGATACAGATAAATCAATATTAATTGAATATTTTAATGGTTCTTGATTACTTTCTTTTAATTTGGAGAAATTAATTGAATTGTAACTTTTAACCTGTAGAAGTCATTCAAAATTAATTTTATATTTCAAAATAATACCTTTTAGAATTTATCCTTTTATATGTTTACTTATAACCTGTTACATCATAATTTTTTAATTTTATTTTAAACAAAGATTACACAAAATCTAGTTCTAAGTTAACATAAAGTTCATAAAATTATACTTTAAGAACTTTTAAGAAAATATTTTGTTTTTATATAAAATTGTATTTTAAGCTTCTAATTAGTTTTATCAAAAATAACTTAATTTATTTTAACGTGCTTTTCCTTAATCACTTTTCAAATTAAATACATTAAAACATAGTAAATCTCTAAAACTTGTTTTACAATTCTCTGCCTTTAAATTTTATATAAAGTTTCTATTATGAGTATATGAAATGCTGTCTTAGAGCTCATAGGTAATGATTAGATAGCCAAGTAGTCAAAGTGCAACCTATCACTCTGGGGAATTGAAGATCAAATCTGGATGGGTCAAAAAAACCCAGAAATTTTTTGCTGGTATGTCTGGATATATAAGGCCCCCTTCCTCACCACCCAACTGCCCTATTCTGAGCCTGGCTAAACCCATAAATTGGCTTGCTAAAAAAGTCCTCTTAGTGCTCACAGGAAAGAGTTAAAAAAAGTGCTTGTAGTAGAAAGTATTAAAAACTATGAAATATTACATTTAAACACTAAACTTAGTCATCTCTGTATATTATCATATGGTAGTATTGTATTTCCAAAACAATAATCTTAGTTTATGGCATTGAGAAATAAGACAGGATAGTTTGATAATTGTTCTTGGAAATCGATTAAAGTCATAAAAGCAGATCTACTGTAATTCTGTCAAAATATATTTACATTTCATGGATTAAATTTTATCTTTTGTATATCTACTTATTCCTAAAACTGCTTTTTCAAAGTTTACATTTCTCATTATTCCTAAAGCAAGGTTTACATTGATATATGAGCTACTACAAAGTAGATATGAACTGCCAGTTCACCTTCTTTTGGAAATTGTTCAACCAGCTTGTAAGGAGTTGAAAATATCTCAATTTTTGTTGAACTTCTGTTTGTTGGATCAATCAACTTTTCACAACTAGTACAATAGAGTATTGCAAACTCAGCTTAATGTGGACTGAGCAGGTGAAAAGTTTATTAAAAGTGCCTAGTTTTACAGTATAGCAATACCTTTACAATAATTAGTGAAATAATTGTAAAGGTATTATTTATACAAGTTTGTATACCTATATTAACTATGTAACAACAGTGGCTATTTCTATTTGTTAAATTTTAATAAAAAAAAATATTGGATATTCAGTGGCTGCTTTCGAGTTAGTGACATTTGTGTTGTGGTGTTTAGCAGTGATACCTTGGAAAGGGGATATATTCTTTGTTAGCATGTGGAATTGATGCTATTATGAAATGTCTCCAGTAAAAAAGATAACTTATTTGATCCTAGTGTTAAGTAATAAAGGAAAAAATTAAATTATAAGTATTTTTTTTAATGACATGATGAGTTTCATGGAATGTCAAGTTATCAAGAGTTGACTTTCCGGGACTTATTGTATTCCAAACATTTTTCAACCAATAACATTCTAAATCTGTTTGTGTCATGTAGTATGAAGTAAACATTTCACTTTGTTTTTCATTTCATTTGTTTGTATGACAGTGTAAACCTAGCTTAACATTTATTTCTATAAGGCATCATTAAAGTAACCTCAGTAAATACCATATAAAAAAATTTTTACATCTAAGTTTTGAAACACAATTATATAAATTTTTTATTTTATAGACAAAATAATAATTTTAAAATAAAATGTAGTCCCTTAGTTACATATGTAATCAACCAAAATAATTATGTTTATTTTGATTATGAAATGTCTTCAAATAAGTTATCATTTTTTACTGATCCTAGTGTTAAGTTATTTAACACTTAAATTAAACTGTAGTTTTGGATTGTTGAATTACTGGTAATGTTCCTTAGATGTAATATAAGACTAACTTATGTGGGTTTATCTGTAGATTTATTGAAACTAGAATTAAAGAACACCACATCTACAACATGAAGAATAAACACAAAACAGATCTTACCAGTTCACTTCCAAATAAAAAATAATACCATTCTGGCCCAAAGTTAAACTTATAAAAATAGTGTTTGACAAAACAAAGATAAAAATAGTGAAAACCATTGAAATATACAAACACATGTAAAGATGACTGCATTAATTATAAGAATAAGCTAAATCTACATGAAGTTTGGCAGGTTATGCTATTCTTATGCTTAAAAAAATTTAAAACAATTGTAGATGGATTATCAAATTCATTGACTTGCACTGATTTGAATGAATTTGATTGTAACAAATATAAGAAAGTTTAATTGAAAAATATCTTTCTTGTTCCAATACCCAGAGACCAAAAATGTTAATATTTTGGAGAAAAGAAAATGCTAAAAGTTGTGTTTGAGCATATTATTTGTTTATTTATATAATAATAGTTTTAATTTTATTCATTCTTTTGAATATGCACATAACTAACAGAGTCAAAAAATAAAACCTTTGCATAATCTGCCAATGTATACTGAATATATGGGAGCATCCATGCTCCATAAATGTATATACAGTATATAAAATTGCTGTAAATCCACCCCATTATATAACCTGCATGCCTGTTCAAAATAGCTTTTAAACACAGATAACCTACAAAAATATGGTAACTTAAATTTAATTCTATAAAATCCTACATATATAAATAATTCTTCAAGAATACAGTTGCATGTACATAATATCTATGATTACTAGGACCAGAATATCCAAGAATTCAATTGAAAAATCATATTGTTTTTGAGGCAATCTATGACAATCACTTGCCACTACTGTATCAGTGATGTTGCTGTTGATGCAAAAAAGAATTAAAAAATTGTGCATGCTTGTGTTTGCATAGCCTTAGACATTGTCCCTTTTTTCCCACTGTATCTTGAAATAAAATCATGTACTTCCAATTGTTATTACATTTTAATTTCCCAATCTCATATTATGTAAAATGACAGTTTAATCAAAATCAGCTGATCAAATATTGAGAATGAACTCAATTCTATAAGCCACATAGAAGAGGCCTTGCTAACACACTGTCTCAATAAAGATTGTGTAAGTTATAACTCATGACTTTTTATGTGATTACAATAAGTGGAATCTACTTTGTTAGCCTCAATATTGTACCAAAAGGACAATATCCAAGACTACTATCACAAGCAAGCAACATGATATGTGGTCGAACTGTCAAAAGCAACCAGATATGGTGCCCTATTTTTATATAATAAATCATTGCCATTGAAAATCACATACAATTTGATTTTATTTTTGTATACATTGAAACATTAGGATTCATAGCTTTTATTTTCTTAATCCACAAATATATTTGGATAGTTTTGTAAAATAACATATCATTGCAGCCTGATTTATTGTTATGCAATCATACCTTTTTAATAATTACTACTATTAATAGAATTACTTCTAAATATGATTTAAATTATTATAAAGTTTTCATCAATTGATTAAATTTTGCCATCTGAGAAATTATTTTTCAAAGAGAATAATTCAAATCAACTTATACAAAATTTATTACTATTTTATAACTTTTACATAATCAAAAAATATTGCAGTTTTTAAGTTCATTCATCATAATTCTTGATCATAAAAATTAATATACATCATAAATATCAAAACAAAATGTTTATGTAGTTATTCTGTATTATCAGAATAACAATTTTTCAATAAATTCTGTAAAAGATATTCCTTTCAATTTTAATTCAAATATTTAGTCTTTTCTTAATCAGCAAACTTTTCAATTATATTCACAAATCAAATATCCAAGTCATCATCAGGATCTTCAAAATCTTCATCCTCTGGTTCAAAATATATATTACTACTTCCTTCTTTAACTTTTGTGTAAGGAAGAACAAGATTTTCTCGTGCATTTTTTTCACTTTCTTTTAATTGAAGATTAAAAGTTAAATTAGCGGTCGGATCTATTTCTTCGGCAATTTCTTTCGACTCAATCGTCATCTTTACACAATGAATGTCACAGATATTAATTATGTAATATTCTTCAACTTCTTTAATAATCTTGGTTGATTTTTTATGAATCGTCAATGCCGTAAAAGGCAAACGCTCGGAAAGCCTTACAATCGAAGTAGCTAAATGTTCAAATAAATCAATTACTTCTTCACTATGAACACTCACATGAAAACATATAATTTGCTCCATTTGGATACTCTGATTCCTTTTCAGCATATCTAATGATTTATAAATATCTGAAGCTGAATTATGAAGCAAAACATAGGATAGAGAATCAATTATTAATATAGTAGGCTCATCACTCTTTAAATTATCAATATATTTGCATAACTCATAACCATATAAATCATTGTCATTCTGTAAATTATCCCAAGATAAAGGGTCTGCATAGCAATTGTGAATCTTTATATTGGAAGTGTTTTCACCAATATCATCTAAATACGTTTCTGGAGGATTTTCGAAACAGAAAAAATGAACAAGTTTTCCTGTTTGTAATCTTGATTTTAAAGTACATTTTAAAAGTGCAAGACAACTATGTGAAAAATAATCCTCTAATAATAGTATTTGGGATTTTTCTACGCCGTAAATTAAATTTTGTAACATTTTCAATGACCAAAATTAACTATAAAATGAAAATTATTAATACAATATGATTATAATTATTGATATTTATGTACCTTTATCAAAATAATTATAATGTAACACAAGTATTTCAACCACATGCTGCCACCATATTTTGTTTCGGATTCCACCTGGCGGAAATAATTTTATTTTATTCATTAAAATTCTTAACATTTTTATTTAATTATTTTATTTATTTAAATTTTCTCATTTATTTTAAATAATAATAATAAAAGCTTATTATTGTTCAAAACGATTCGATCTAGTTTTCACCTTCCATCTATGGTGGAAAGTGAAAACTGTAGAGCTAAGACTTCGGCCAGGCCCACAATGGGCAGCTGGGTGATAAGAAACGGAATCCTAAATATCCGGACGGACCACCCCTTCAAAAAATTTCTGAGGTTTTCCGATTTGTCCGACCGGATTCTCAGAGCGGTAATCTGTCACCGTAGCCTCTCGGCTCAATAAATATGTAATATCACTTATAGCAAGCCCATTATGGGTTCGGCCTGGGCCACAATGCGGAGGCCGGGTGTTGAGGGACGGAACCCGACTTATTCGAACGGACCACCCTCCGAAAAATTCCTGGGGATTTTTCAAACCGTTCGAATTCGATTCCGGATCCAACAAAGCGGCAGGCTGCCATCTTGACCGCTCGGCCATTCGCCCGTCAATTTTTATGTTTTAAGACATATGCTCAACATTCATGTAGCACGCTTTTTCGTTTACGTTAGAAAAAACTTTAAATTTGTGTAAAAACATTGAAAATACTCTTTGTAATTTAAAATATAAAAATCCTTACAATTACTAACAGTGGGCGTTATAAAGGAATTTCTATTAATTTTGCAGTTCAGTAGTTTTTGCAGTATCTTAATGGCGACGCTACAGTATGGGAAAAAAACCTGAACCTTCTCTAAAATATTGTGAATACAAAGACAAAAGCTTAATTTTGAGGACAGGAATGAATTTCACAAAAAAGTATAAATGTTAACTCCTTACCATCTCGACCTTTAACCACCAAAATTTAATAGTATCAATGCCCTCATGCCAAATTTCGTTCCTTAATCTTTATTCCATCATGAGATATTAGCGAAATAGACGCCAACACAGGTTTCAGATGGTCTCAAAACGTGGATATTTGCAAAAAACTCAGAGGGTCAAATTTGACACGATTTCAATATTTTCCCTTGTTATGTATCGGGCAAATATCAAAATTCTCCGGTGAATGTCAACATTCACACAGTCGTTTCGTATCCGGCCTAGTATGCCACTAGGCCGGATGGCCGAGCGGTCAAGGTGGAAGCCTACCGCTCTGGGGAACCCGGGATCGAATCCGGACGGATCAAAAAATCCCCAGGAATTTTTCAGGGGGTGGTCCGTTCGGATATATGTCGAGCCCTACCCTTCACCACCCGGTCACCCCATTGTGAGCCTGGCCGAACCCATAATGGGCTTGTTTTAAGAGGTCCTCCCAGTGCCCACAGGGCGGAGAGTAAAAAAAAAATTTCTCACTTACGCCGGCGAATGTCGACATTCCATCATGCACTAATGTTGAATAAAAATATTTTTATTATGTTGAGACAAAAATGCAACTTTTTAATACTGTATGTCAAAATAGGAAAAAACTTAAGTAACAGCACATGTAAATAAACTGTTGAACCTAAAACGAACAGAATTATACTGTACATTCTTAATCAGAAAAGAAAAATAATATGCAATAGTAAACTTACACATACTCGTATATTACGTGATTAACGTTATACAGTCTTATTTATTGCAACAACTTAAACTGTTATGACACTTTGAATTGCACAAGAGTCCCTTGCTTTTACAACTGCATTTATTCGTTGAACACTTCTTTTTCCAATGTCAGCACGTATGGCCTTTCCCTCCACTTTTCGAATTATATGCAGCTGCTTCTCTCAGCGATACTTTTTGAGAAGAAATCTCATCTATGGAAAGTAACTTTTCTTTACAAATTATGAACTGATTGCGGGTATAAAGCTGCTTGAGGGTACCTTTTTTGTTTGCTAATTTATAAAAGTCGGAGTCTTCTATTTCAACAACAACCGCCAACACATTTTGGGCATCTGTATGGCCACGATCGACATCGGGGACTTACGGTATCATCAATTTGAGCAGGAGGAAATTTTTTTTGAGGTTTGTAACATTTTCGTTGCTTGCAGTAGAAGATTCTCTTTCGCGGCCGTTCTTTTTATAGAAATAAATTCGTGTTGTTCAGTCAGGGCTTGACATGAAGACGTTGGTGGGTTGCAGCTCTTCAATATTTTCCTTTGGAATATGGTATTCGTTATGGCCACTGCTCAAATTTCCTTCAAAAGTATTAACAATTTTTTCGAGCTGTTCTTCGGTTTCAATATTTGCGATTTGTTCGCCAGGCAAACATGACGATGCTATGCCTCTTTTTGGTTTAACGCCAAACACGGCTTCATAAGGGCTTTGGCATATTCCTTCGTGATATGTAGTGTTTTTGGCAAATTGTACAAAGGGCAAACCATCTGACCATTTATTTGTATCGTTATCGTTCATCCATGTAGTTAACATATTCTGTATATCCCGATTGGCCTTTATAACTGAGCCTTGTGTTTAACTGTGACGAGGCTTTCCATGAACTACCTCAACATCTTTCCACATAGCACATAGTTCGGATATGACTCGATTACACAATTCCCTACCACTATCTAAATGCAATATAGCTGGGACACAAATGTTAAAAATATTTGAAGAAGGTGATGCGCTACTTCTTCAGCTGTCTTAGTTTTCAAACTTAGTAGCTGGACAAATTTCGTTAAATGATCTTGATACACCATTATGAACCTATATTCGCCATCCTTGTGTGACTACAGATCTATCAGATCGACTCGACATCTTGAGTTTAACTCCCAACTGACCATTGGTTTCACAATACCTCTTTTAGGTGCACTATGTTTCATTTGACATTGTTTACATAAATTTAAATATATTACATGTTCATATATATTTTTGTTTTTCAGTTGCAACTTCTTTAAGCATACGTGTTCTTCCTCTATGGCCTGTTCTGCTGCGAGTTTCAGACAGTATACTGAACAATTTATCATTGGTAACATAATACTGTACATTCGTTTCTCCTGGTTTTAATGGTACAATTAATTTCTCTTCATTATCAATTTTTAAAACGTCAAAATGTTTTAATCGTCTGTAATCCAAAGGTGTACTGCACTTAGTTTTAGTAGAAAGTAGAGTACTTTTCTTCGGTTCGACGTCGGCTTGTCGGGTGTCGTTTCGACCTCCACAAACCTATCTGTGCTTGTCGACATACACCGGCGATTGTTCGAATGTATAATAAGTGTCGACATTCACTGGAGAATATTAACATTCTCTAATTTCGGTCTTTCACGGCAATATATACATAACGTCCGTGAAAGTAAAAATTAGACACATTACTAGTGAGATTAGTGACAGGTGTTGAGAAATGAAAAAACTTGACATTTTTTACTCTGCGGCAATGTTCCCTCTAAATTTTTTTGTAGATGAGCGGAACATATACTTCTCTGAGCAAAAAATTTTTCTGGGCATATATATAAACAATCTTATTTTTTCCTGTAAAAATTAAAATAATCTAAATATATAAAATTGCATGTCCTGACTGACTGACTGAATGACTCACCTCTTTAGGTTCAGCGGTTTGCCCAGAGCAAACCGCTGAACCTAGAGGTGAAATTTGGTACACAGTTAGGGTACGCCATGGCAATGCACAATAAGAAGGGATTTTTCGAAATTCTCCCGTGGGCGGGAGAGGGAGAGGATTTAGTCTTTATCGAGTACTTAGGTGTATTAAATTAATAACATTTCAGACATTGTTATAAATATTTTTATCTATTTCGATTTAAAAAATGTTCGAACCGTTTTAAATTCGAATTTGTTATTGCATATTGGTTCGATTATAGAACGATTGTAAACGTCCATGAAANTGAGTACAGACAACCCATTATTGATGGTTTAATTATCTGTTTCTCAGCAGAGACGTACCATCAAATACCCAGATTTTAATTGTTAAAACTAATAATGTATGACGAATAATTAGCAATGTATAGTATTTGTTATTGTCAAATATATATACTGTATATATAATTTTAAATATAACTGGATCACTGGTAACTTGTTGGGTCACTTACTTACTTAAAATTATAAATAGAAAATACCGTAATAGGTAAAAGTAACGTTTAATAGATGCGTAACGTTTCCGCATATCTCGGCATAATAAATTGTAGACCTATAAATTTCCACTGTTATTCGTCTGGCTGTTTATCTTTCCTTAAGCTCCAGAGGACTTAGATAGATGAAAGCCGAGACCAAATATGAAACAATTAGGAGTAGGAGGCCCTGAATAACTATATACAAACTTCTGGTGCACACTTTCTTTAGAAGTTTCCATTACTAAAAAAACTGATAATTGTAAAAAATTCCCATATACAACACCATGGAAAACTAAGCAGCCTTAGACTATAATTTTGAAATAAATGAAACACGTATCAAGAAATATTTTAATTTTTACTTAAAAAATATCATAATGTATTTATTTCTCAAATAAACTTCTTTGAAAGCACACTTGGAAGGTCTTCTTCAATTGTTAACTGTTAACAAAGAAAAGTATTACGATTATCGAATAATCAAATGTTAAAAGATTTTCATTATTAAGTAATATTATTCACGCTAGATAATACTTTAACATTTGAAGAAAAGTTTATCATAAGGTTTCTATGGCTCAAATTGAAAATCCTAAATTTCTATATGGTGCGGTACCATCAGCTTTAATATGGTCAGATCCTGACTATGATGAATATATGGCAAAAACTGAAAGTATAAAAAAGGGAAAGTATCCTGTTGTGGAAAAATTACGTCATGAAGTCAAAGATCCAATAAAATGCCTCAAAATTGTTTACACGACAGTAGATTCCAACAGAAACCAAGTCGTAACTAGAGAAGAATTGAAAAAGGCAATTCGTTATGGATTAAATTTTCCAAATGTTATTAAAGATAAGGACTTTGAGGATTTGTTTCTTCTTTTGGATCCATGTCATACTAATTGGATCAAATGTGAAAAATTTTTAGATTT